AGGAAGGAAGGAAGGAAGGAAGGAAGGAAGGAAGGAAGGAAGGAAGGGAGGGAAGGAAACACCAACAGCCCAGTTATGACTTCCTGAGAGTCTTCTTGCCATGCTGCCTTCAGGCCTCGCCTGAGCAGTGCTGGGGGGTGGGGGTGGGGGGCAAAGGCAGGCCAGTCTACAAAGTCCAGCTGCTTACTGATCAGTCACTTAAATCACAGAGCAAGCCTGAGACTTTTTAGTGAGAAGCTGCCAAGCCTCATGGTAAAGTAAACTGTTGCACTATGCTGCCCACTCCCATCCATGGTATTACTTGCTAGGATGCAGACAGGAGACTGCCTGGATGCCAGGCTACTTCTCCTTTAGAATGAGGCCCACATTCTCAGCTGTGTTAGCCCACAGAGCCCGCCCCATTCTCAGAAGGGACCCCCAAAGGCACCATGTGCTGCCCTCACCTGCAGCTCTGAACTCTGCAGCAGACAGGATGCCTACTATGAGGGAGGAAAGGGCTTTTCTTCAGCAACTCCATCCCATGCTGCTACAGAGTTAGTTACAAACTCTTCCAAATCTCCCAAGTTGTCATTGAACAAAACTCTGAGATGATGCAATGAAACCCCAAACAATGGAGCCTCTACGCAGAAAGATGTTCCTTACAACGCACATCGTGAAAAACATCCAATGGCGTGATTTTACTTTCTCTCATAACTAGACCTTGTATGATATCCGTATTTACATATAAACATTCGTCTTGAAAAATTATGTTCTATAGCTAAATAATCTACTCATTATTTGCATACATTTACTATGAATCACCACAGAGACTGGAAGGATTCATATTTTAATTACTTTGCACATTTACATTTAGCCAGCTGCATACCCCCCTAGAATGGCTAATGGCAACAGCAGAGTGAAGAGAGCTGTTTGTCGGTAAGTAGGAGAGACCCCACAGAAAGAGGGTGTGAAGTCTGGAAAGACTTACTTGCTACTCCTGACGCCAGTCCATACAGCAGGCCTCCCCCATCCGACTGCTGAGGGAAGACGTGGGTTCCGGGAGGAGGTGGCTTTTCTTGTCTGATAAAGTTATACAATAAGGTTTTCACAAGTTTGCTGGTGTAGGGAAGACTACATAGAAAAAGTAAAAAAAAAAAAGGAAAATCAAACTCCTGTTCATGGAGTCACTAATTCTGCATAACATCACAGAATATGTCAGTCGCTAGTACTATCTCAGGGACAGTGGCAGCATCTCATGACCCAACTCAAGCCCTGACCCCGGCGCTGCCTCCTACCACACCAGAAGGCACAAATCAAACCATTCAAACGTAAGCATCTGTTACCTTGTTTGTAACTTACACAAAATTACAAGCAATTATAAATTTAGTGGAGAATGCAGTACAGCCAGCAATTGAAGGAAAGTTGTTACACAGAAATCAGCAGAGAAACATGAAAAGGAAATAACAATAAGTAAGACTCATGTTTTAAGCACAAAACTCCAGTTATTCAATTATTGGTGACAAGGTAATTTCTATATTCTCTGGTCCATTTGTAGATTTTTTTATGTATTACTGATGACCATGGCTTCTTTGATAAACCACAAGAACAAGAGAAAGAATATTCTGCTTATGTATTTGACATTATAATGATACTATAAAAACCAAAGACTAACAAAGTAAGACTACTAATGTCCTCCCCATCTATGAAAAATACAACCTTTATATTTCTAGCACTGTAAGAAATACAGTTCTAGTCAAAACTCTAGCACGCCAACTGTCACCTGAAGGCCATGTTACTCCACTGCTGCTAGGGTTTAGAGCGGAGTCTCCAAAGCCTGGGCCCTCCCCTTCTTGTCAGTGACTTTCAGATGTCACCTGCACAGGTTCCAGTATGGTTTGTCTCCTTTGCAATTCTCATGGGAGTTCAATCCTCATGAGGCAGGAAGACGGTGGAAATTAAAACTCACTATGGTATTTGGCAGTGGAGCCTGTAGGTTAGGTCAAAAGGTAAGTCTGGAGCTCCTATGACCAATCCCAGTAGCTTTTCAATAAGCAAGACACACAGACTGGCTTGCCTCTTGCTGCAGAAGGCCCAGTGATACCCTGGGAGTCTTCCAGTAAGAAGAAGGTCACCAGATGCAGTCTCAACCTTGGGCCCTGGGGTCTCATTTCTGTGTGACTTACCCAAAGGCTCTCCAGGAGCCTGTGAACATGGTGTAGTATAACCATGGCAGCAAGGCAGGCAGAGCGGAGGCAGTGCTACAGATGCCCTTCACTCATAACAATCGACAAGTACTGTACCCACAGCCGTGTCCCCAGAACTTACAGATGACTTTAACAAAAACTAACTTATTCTAAAGACTTCTTCGATTTAAATCTTTTTGAAAATTATGTCAACAGAAGGTAGAGTGTTGTGTTTACTGCAAGTATTTTTATCCACATTCCCATAAGTGTCCACTACAGAGGAAGCCCAACATGTGTTTAGCATACAGTAAATAAGTAGATGCTCATTAAACTAGAACAGTGAAGGGGCCACTGGCATAGTCTCAACAAACGGTGACCCAACACAGATCAGCCCATACCAGTCAGCCCTTCACATTCACAAGGACCACATTCTTAGATTATGCACACACTTTTCAACCAATCACAAACTAAAAATACTCAGGAAAAAAATATCTTTTTTTTTTTTTTTTTGGTTTTTCGAGACAGGCTTTCTCTGTGTGGGCCTGGCTGTCCTGGAACTCACTCTGTAGACCAGGCTAGCCTTGAACTCTCGAACTCAGAAATCTGCCTGCCTCTGCCTCCCAAGTGCTGGGATTAAAGGCATGTGCCACCACGCCCAGCAGGAAAAAAGTATCTTATCTATACTGAATTTTACTCTCTCAATATCTTCCAAACAATTCAGTATATCAGTTATTTACAAAGCATTCACATTGTGTTAGGAACTATATGTCATCTAGGATTTAAAGCATACAGGAGGATGTGCCTGGGCTACATACAGGATGGATGTTTTAGGGACTTGTGGGTTTTGGTGTCCCAGCCAGTTCCCTGCATATACTAAGGGACAACTAGATTCCAAGGAGCTTGTGAAAGAGGAAGACTCTGCCGCAGTTGGAATACGCACAGAGGACTTGACAGAGGAGGAGGAAGGAGGAAGAGAAGACAACAGCCTATTGCACAAAGCAACCATTACAGGGGATGAGGCAGAGCATGGAAGGAACAGGAACCAGAAAGTACGTAGCCTCATCTTGTATGAAGTAACAACAGAACTGGAAGAGATGTCAGGTTGGTAAACGACAACATCCATGAGAAGATGATGCTAGAAATAGCAGATTAGGTATCACGGTGGCTGTTCCTTAGGAGGGACAAGGTGAGAAGGTAACGTACCATGGACCTTGCATCAGGTACTTGTGACTGATGCTCTGCCGCAGAACCTCCTTGTGGAAGAGCTGGCAGGAAAGGAAGACGACCATTGCTGAGACGGCCTCCACTGATATCTCATATGTAATATCCCTGAAGACATAGGGGAAACAGAGTCACGATAAGTCTGGAAGATTAAACACCACTCTTCTCACATAAACTGTTCATTTAAGTAGTCAAATCTACATATTCAAATATTTCAGTTTTTTTTTCACTCAAGCCAACATATTAAACCCCTTTCTGGGCATCCACTCTTCTATTTGGACCTGGCACTCCACTGTTTTCCTACTTTGCAGTTCCCATGTCTATTAGTCTACTGGTGTACGCTCACAAGACCTGCACTAACCCCTGTGCTTGTCCCTGGTCACTAACAACAGCAACGGATAAGCAGCAGGAAAGGCAGAGGGAAGGTCATGATCTCTGAATCAGAATGGTTTATCTGTTTCATCTCTAATATGTGACACCTCAGGCAAACTGTGCATGTTCAGCAGGACATCAACAGTAATCATGTGATCAAAGGCTGTGGGGTAGAGACAAGAGGATCCCAGCAGCTCTGGCAAGCCAGTCTAGCCAAATTAATAAGCACTCAGCTTGATGAGAATCCCAGTGTCAAAGGAATAAAGCAAAGGGTGATAAAAAGATCAATGTCTTCTCACTTCATGGATGTACATCCCACACATATGTGCACATCCATGCATACAACAAACACACACACACAGAGAGATAGAGGCATACATACAGACATATACACACAAACACATGCACACACAGACACACACAGATACATGAAGGCATACATACACATGCACACACAGACAC